AGTTTAGCCGATCCCAGCCTAGATCAGCCATATTTCAGTGAACCTAAAAATGCGTGAGAAAGAGCTGGATACTTGGTGTTTTTAGGCCATTCCAATTTATAGTTTTTGTTAAAAACTATATGGCATTAGTGTGAAAATAGCTGATACCAACTAATGCTTAGAATGTAGTCATGGGTATAGTATGTGCTAGGTAATTAATCTACATAGGTGCACATGAGGGTTTATGGAGGAGAGAGCCTCCCCCACTGCTCCAGAGCTCAGCTGGATGATCCGAAATTCCCTTTTAGATGTGGTGCTCTTGTGTGGTGTACAACATGAATGCCTATCTAGGTGATCTGCTGATCTTGGCAACTATGCTGTGGGAGTTTCAAACTGCTTAGAGTGGCTAAGGTAAAGAAGAGTACAAGAAAACCTATTTAAGAACAGAGTATAGAGAAGGGTGCCTGGGTAGCTCAGTCAGTTAAGTGTCCAACTCTTGAATTTGGCTCTGGTCATGATACCAGGGTCATGGGATTGTACCCCACATCCAGCTCCACTCTGACTATGGAGTCTGCTTGAAATTCTCTCTCTCTCTTTGGCCCCTTCCCCATTCTCTCTCTCTCTCTCTCTGTCTCATGTGCATGCGTGTGCTCTCTAAAACAAAACAAAGCAAAGCAAAAGAACAGAGGGTAGAGAAATAAGACATTCAGGCTTGCAGAGGAATTAAACTAAAAAAGAGTTGAAAAAAGAACACAGAAAAAGCAAAGGGGAGAGAGAAGAAACAAAATAATGCTAATATGATCAGCTTTTTAACAAGTAGCTGAAAAGTCAGACTTCCTTTATAAGGATTACGTGTCAAGAAAACAAATACATATATCTTGAGTGCCTCCTGTGTATAATCCAAAGGTGAATAAGATATGATCTTTATTCTCTTCTATAAAGACATCACTCCAATGTGGGAAGTGATCATTTTTATTAACCACAGTCTGAACTCTTTACCTGAGAAGTAAACATGTCAGCTATATGGATCAGTTTTTATTAGTTGGAAAGGACAATGTAAGACTTCGTATGGGATATATGAGGTTTTTCTAGCATATCATCATTTGAACTTCCTGTTTTGATTAAAAGGTGTACTCAAGGTTGTACTCAGCTAGAGGGCATTTCCATTTTCAATGCAGCTAGACAAGTAGGTAATTTGGTTTCATGGAATGAGACACCACTAACTTATTTTTCCACATTTTGATGCTGTCTGTATATGACGGCCTTGTTCATCTTTACTGCTTCATAGAAATCAACTCATCTAGGGCTTTTAAAAAATTTATTTTGGAAAACATTCAGCCTTCCTGAGCAATTGCAAAGATAGTACAGGGTGCTCCACATTTCTTGTCTAGCTTCCCCCAATGCTAACATCTCACATAACCATATTAGAATTGTCGGAACTAAGAACTTAACCTTAGGGGTGCCTGGGTGGTGGCTCAGTCGGTTGAGCATCCAACTTTGGCTCAGGTCACGATCCCATGGTTCGTGGGTTCAAGCCCTGTGTAGGGCCCTGTGCTGACAGCTCAGAGCCTGGAGCCTGCTTCAGATTTTATTTTTATCTCTCTCTGTTCCTCCCCCTCCCGCCCCCACTCATGCTCTGTCTCTCTCTCTCTCTCTCTCAAAAATAAACATTAAAAAATATATATTTCTGAATATGTAAATGGGCAGTGGCCAGGCTACAGGTAGAAATACAACTCTGACTTGCAGCAATCAGCTTAGGAAGCCACCCTTGTAAGTACAATAACCCATCCAGGAAGTCAAACTACTATTTGTAGCAGTCAAGTCTAGAAAGTCAAATAACAACCCTGTAGCAATGGACCCCAAATGGCCTGGACTTGATTAATAATTGACAACTTCCCTTATTTTGGCCTCCACTTCTAACTTAGGACCAACTGGAGAAAGATGTGTCTTTAGTCAATCACCTAGGATACCCTACTTCTAATTAGCCCACCCACAGCTTCCCATGCCAACAGCCTCCACCCAGGGTGTACCTGAGACCTTCACTATCTTCTACCTTGTCCCACTGCATGATACTGTATTGTGTTTGTGTCACAGTTTATGCAGTTCATCTTCTAGTAATGGATATTTGAGCTATTTGAATGTTTTGTTCTTATAAACAATGTCACATGACTTGTGCATGTGTCATTCTGTATCTTTGCAAAAATGTCTTTGGGATAGAGTCCTGGGGAAAAAATTAATTTGCTGGGTTAAAGAGTAAATGTATATGTAGCTTTGTAAGATATTGTTAAATTCCTTTCCTATAGGATTTGTACCCTTTTGCATTTCCAACAGCAATGAATGAGAGGAACGGTTTTCCCATTTCCAGTAAAATAATGTTAAAGCTTTGGATTTTTGCCAATCTAATAGGTGAGAAACAGATTAAATCACACTGTAGATTTAATTTAAATTTCTCTTATGGGCAAGGTTAAGCATCTTTTCATATGTTTAAGGGTCATTTGCAATTCTTTTTTATGAAATGTCTGTTCGCATCATTTCCTAATTTTTTAAAGTCTATTTATTTACTTTGAGAGAGAGAGGTGGAGGGCAGACAGAGAGGGAAAGGGAGAATCCCAAGCAGGCTCTGCCCTGTCAGCATGGAGCCCAACGTGGGGTTTGAACTCACAAACTGTGAGATCATGAACTGAGCCAAAACCAAGACTCAGACACTTAACCAACTGAGCCATGCAGGTGCCCTCATTTCCTAATTTTTTAGGAAATTGAATTGTTGATCTTTTTAATCCCTCAAGTTTAGAAGAAACTTATTCATGAAAACTATTAGTATATTGTTATTATTTGTATTTTTTTAAAAAAATAATTTGTTATTTGATTATTTATAGTTTTTTTCAGGCAAAGTCGTCTTATATGTATGTAGTGAAATTAATCACTTTTTCTTTGTTATTTCTGGATGTGACAACTAGCAGTTTTTCCCACTCTCAGTTCATATAAAATTAAATCATGTTTTCTTCTAGTAGACCAAAGGTAGTCCTTTTTTTTTTAACAGCTTTATTGAGATATAATTTACATACAATTCATGTGTTTAAAGTGTACAATTCAATGACTTATAGCATATTACATTATTTTTTAACTTATGGTAAAATATATATAACGTTACATTTACCTTATTGATGTACAATTCAGCATAATTACACACACAGTGTTGTGCAGCCATCACCACCATCTATTTCCAAACCTTTTTCTTTATCCAAAAAACTCTGTTCCATTCAGCAACAACTCCCCATTTTGGGCTCCGCCCAGCCCCTGGTAACTCCTACCTACTTTCTATTTCTAAATTTGCCTATTCTAGATATTTCGTATAAATAGAATCATACAATATTTGTTCTTTAGTGTCTGATATTTCACTTAGCACATTTTCAACATCTTCTGGTGTCCCAGAACATCAATGCTTTTTACGGGAGAATAATATTTCACTCAATGCATAGACCACATTTATTGTCTCCATTCATCTGTTGATAGATACTTGGGTTGTTTCCATCTTTTGACTGTTATGAATAATGCTGCAATGAACACTGTGGTATAAACATCTATTCAAGCCCCTGCTTTCAGTTCCTTTGAGTATATACCTAGGAGTGAAATTGCTGGGTCATTTGGTAATTCTGTGTTAGCTTTTTGATGAAATATGAAACTGTTTTCCACAGTGACTGTACCACTTTACATTCACACAAGCAGTGTAAAAATGTACACTTTACATTGAGGGCACCAATCCTCCACATCTTTATCAATACTTGTTATTTTGTGTTATTGTTTTGAAAGTCATCCTAGTAGGCATGAAGTAGTATCTCATTGTGGTTTTAGTTTGTGTTTCGCTGTAATTAATGATGTTGAGTATCTTTTCTTGTGCTTATTGAGTATTTCCTTTGAAGAAAGGCCTGTTCAAGCCATTTTAAGTTGGGTTGTTTGTCTTTTTGATAATGAGTTGTAGGAATTATTTTTATATTATGGGTATTAAACTCTTATCAGGTATATGATTTGCAAATATTTTCTCCCACTTTATAGATTTGTTTTTCATTTTCTTGATAATGTCCTTTGACACAAAAGCAATTTTGATGAGTCCAGTCAATTTTTTTCTTCTATTACTCATACTTTTGATATAGTAAGAATCCATTGCTAAATCCAAGGTCCTAAAGATTTATTCCTATATTTTCTTCTAGGAATTTTATGGTGTCAGGTGTCACATTGAAGTCTTTAACCCATTTTAAGTTGATTTTTGTGTATGGTGTAAAATAGGGGCTTCATTCCTTGCTTTGGGATATCCAGTTGTCCAGCACCATTTGTTGAAGAGATTATTCTTTCCTCTTTGAATAAATTTGGCACTCTTGTCAAAAATCAGTTGACCATAGATGTTTGGATTATTTCTGAATTCTCACTTCTATCCTATCCTACCCATATATTCTATAGTCTATATGGCTATCCTTATGCCAGTTCCATAATGTTTTGTAGCTTTGTAATAAATTTTGAAATTGGGAGGTCTAAGCCCTTCAGCTTTGTATTCCTGTTTCAAGATTGTTTGGCTATTCGAGCCTTCTTGCAATTCCATGATTTTGAGGATCGACTTTCCCATTTCTGCTAAAAAAAGCTGTTGGAATTTTAACAGAGATTGCATTGAATCTGTAGTTGCTTTGGGTAGTATAGACATCTTTACAACATTAACTTTTCTTATCCATGAACATGAATATCTTTGCATTTATTTAGGCCTTTCAAGATACTTCTTGATACTTTTTAGTAGAATAGAGGTATAGGCAAAACCATCCAACTCCTTCCAAAGTTACCAAGCAACACACAGGTAAAAGTCCCAATTGTTGAATGATTGCATTAAGACACATCCCACTGCAATTCACAAAGCATCACTTTATTTTCATATAAATAGTAGTCACTGAGGAAGGGAAAAACAAAATCATAACTATCAATATTTACCTAGGGAACCATTTTCATAGAATATTGATGAAGGAACATAGTATATATCTTCAGAGTGGCAGGGGACACAGGGACAAGCATACTAGATTGAAAGCATAAAAGCATATTCTCATAAGAACCAAGCAATCCTTATTGTTGGAGGACCAAATGGAATCATCATTAATGTAAGTAGAATCAAAGTTCACAATCTGTAAGTCCTTTTTAAGATATGCATGATTCAGCCTATTCACAGTTCGAGCAAAGGCATATTTAGAAGCACAACTATATGCTTCCAAACTGTACACTTTCTTGAAGTGCAGATCAAAAAATGGATTGTCCTAGAAGAAAAAGAGAGACATGGTTTTGTTTGTAGCCAGGAAAGTAGCTAGATTTCCTGGGGTGGGGGTGGGGGGGGCTTCTCATATTCTCTTGTACATGCTTATTGATCGTAAAGAATCAATATCAAACATATTTCTAAAATGTATAAATGAGATTTCCAAAGCTACCTGCTTTAAACATATTGCTTCTAAAAAGAACAACAGTATGAAAGATTTCTTTGGATGCATCTGTGATTTTTCAATTTTCCAAGTAAAACATGTCTGAGAAGGCGCTGCTATCAAGTCTTCCCAGGGTAGTGAATTTGAGAGGGTGGATAGAGATAGAAAAAGCTTCTGAAGGAGAGAAAAGATTCCTCCTTTTCTTTACTAGGAGGTTGGTCCCTTGTGCCATTACAATGGTAGAAGGGGGAAATACAAGATGGCAAGAGTAGCCTTCAGCATGCTACATGTCACAAACCTGCTGACTTTAAAGTTAATAGTAAGGAATTAGCTTTGAAGTTAATAGCAAGGATCTTTAAATCATTTGGCTGAAACTGTCAAATTACTCAAGACTGCCTCTATTGATTGACTGCCTCTGGATTGTCGCTACACTTCCATTGGAGGTGTCTTGAGAAAAAGTCGATATCAAAACTGATCTGAGTCCTATATGTTAAAATAATAATTTCCACTGTTACTAAAAGTAGTAACAGCATAACCTTGTATTTATAAAGTGATTTTCAGTTTATGAAGTGTTTTCATATTCATTACCTGCCTAACCTCTCTTTTTTTTTTTTTTAGGGCAGAGATTTTGAATTATTTATCTTTGTACTTATCCATGGCAACTACTAAGTTCTCAATAAACGTGAGTTGAACTGATTTGAAATAGTCCGATAAAAAGAGAAGTGGAGGTAAACATTGCTTTGAATGACAAGGAGGTAGAGAGAAACCAAAGCAGAGTATTAATAATTAGTTCCCATGTAGTATCTAAATATTATATACAAACAACTTATATTTTGGCAATTTCTCTTGTAAAATAAGAAAATTCTTGCAGGAGTCAGGAGAAAGAATATGAGTTTTGAAGTTAGATAACCATTTTGAGTCCCTGATGTAACCATGGACAAAGTGCTTACCTGATCTGACCTTCACATTTTTGCTCATTTAAGAAAGGGTTACTATGCTGTTTACGTAAGATTAATACAAACTGCATAATAAGGGCTTTCTCCTTCCCAAATCTGCCCCCCCCATTGTGATATTGGTGTTAATATCACCTTGCTTTATACCATTAGTTTTTTAAAATGGTAAAGATGGTATAAAAAATAAAATATTTTTTAATATTTATTTTTGAGAGAGAGAGAGAGACAAGAGTGTGAGTGGGGGAGGGGCAGAGAGAGAGGGAGACACAGAATCCAAAGCAGCTTCAGGCCCCAGCTGTCAGCACACAGCCTGAAACGGGGCTTGAACCCACAAACTGTGATATCATGACCTGAGCCAAAGTCAGATGCTTAACCAACTGAGTCACCCAGTCACCCCTATACCATTAATTTAAAAACAACCCCCCCCAAACAATAGTTTTAAAAAAGAATGTACAAAAGCGATGTGATTTTAAATGCATCATTCCCCTTAGTCACATCTTGCAAAACTTTTCTTGGCTGTCATAGTTGCAGCTTGAAAGACACTTCTGCAGGAAATCTCAATAAAAGGAAATCACACCCATTCCATTATCAAATACTAATCATGCTCTTTGTATAGTTTTCTCACTAAAACATTTACTCCTTATCTTGTAGAAAGTATCCATTATGCTTTTAAGATACTCAGAGGAAATTACTTTTCTCCTTTAGCCTAATAATTGAAGCCTAAGCAGGCATGTACATAGATTACAAGTCCCTCCTTCCGTCTTTCTCTCTCCCTTACTTCTCTTGTTCTTTCTTTCCATAGAATCTTAGAGCTGAAAGGGGGTCTCATAGACCACTCAGTGATCTCTTGTTTATAGCTGAGATAATAGTTTCCAGAGAAGTGAAGCCCAGGTCACACATGTAGTTGTTGGCAGAGCCAGGATAAGAACCAAGATCTCAGTCAATCCAGCCCCAGGTTTTATTATGCCATCCTCTCTCCTGTTAGGAGACATGGGGTGCCTAGGTAACTCGGTTACATGGCCGACTGCATTTCAGGTCAGGTCTTGATCTCAAGGTTCCTGAGTTCAAGCCCCACATCAGGCTCTGTGTTCACAATTCACAGTGCAAAGTCTGCTTCGGATCCACTGCCTTCCCCCCCACCATTCATGTGTTCACATGCATGCATTCTCAAAAATAAAAATAAATATTAACAAAAATTTTTTTAAAAAAGAAAAAGAGAGGGGCGCCTGGGTGGCTCAGTGGGTTAAGCATCCGACTTCGGCTCAGGTCATGATCTCATGGTTTGTGGGTTCGAGCCCTGCGTCGGGCTCTGTGCTGACAGCTCAGAGCCTGGAGCCTGTTTCAGATTCTGTGTCCCTCTCTCGCTCTGCTCCTTCCCTGCTCATTCTCTGTCTCTCTCACTATCTCAAGGATAAATAAACATTAAAAATTAAAAAAAAAAAAAAGTTTTTTTTTTTTTTAATTTCTAGGAGAGAGAGAGAGACAGCGTGAGCAGGGGAGGATCAGACAGAGAGGGAGACACAGACTCTGAAATAGGCTCCAGGCTCTGAGCTGACAGTCAGCACAGAGCCCAACGCGGGGCTCGAACCCACGAACCGTGAGTTCATGACCTAAGCGAAAGTCGGTGCTTAACCGACTAAGCCACCCAGGCGCCCCGAGAGAGAAAAGTTTTGTATTACACTGACTTTTAAAAAACTTATTTTGGGGCACCAGGATGGCTCAGTCAGTTAAGTGTTGGACTTCAGCTTGGGTCATGATCTTGTGGTTTGTGAGCTCAGGCCCTGTGTAGGGCTCTGTGCTGACAGCTCAGAGCCTGGAGCCTTCTTTGGTTTCTATGTCTCCCTCTCTCTCTGCTTCTCCCCCACTCACACCCTGTCTTTCTTAAGAATAAATAAATAAGAAAACAACAACAACTTATTCAGTGGTGAACAATTGTATTCAGAGGCATTCATGTGGAAACATGATTTTTAATTTCTGTGTGACATTCCAGCTACTGATATGCAAAATATACTTAACTATTTCCTAAGTGTTGAACTTTTAGGTAGAATGTATTACCAGAAAAATGCTAGGTGAGTACTTAAGAAAAAAAGCAATGAAATCCAACATGCTTTTGCCAAGAAGTTATGCCAAACACACCAAATTTTAAAAATTGGATTGATTCCTAGGTAATGTCAAGGTAATAACAGATAACATATATTGATTTCAGTAAAGATCATAAGGGCAAGATTCAGGAATTCAGACTAGATAATTAAGTAAATAAGTAAGTAAGTAAGTAAGGCAGAATTAAGTGCTTATGTCTGTCTATTTCACCACTGTATCCTCAAACCCAGCAGAGCCTGGGATACTACAAATTCTCAATGAATGAATGAATGAATATATGAATATGTAGAGATGTCAAACAAGCAGTCCAAGAAGACATAGTAATAGATTTCCGGGTAAAGTCTGCCTCCACCCACAAAACACTGAGTAGCTTTGTGACCTTGGGCAAGTCAATTAATCTCTTTAAGTTTCATTTTCCTCATCTAAAAATTGGATGTAGTAATAGGATCTAATTCATTGGGGTTTTGTGATGATTATGTGAAATTGTATATGAAAAGACCTTCATGTGGTTCCTGGCATCTGATGAGTTTATTAAATATGAGATGGCAGCAGGTAGCGGTACTACAAGTGGCGGTAATAGTAACCTTTAATTACCTAGAGGTTACCCAGATGGCACTTAGCTCTGCTTGCTTCATTATGTCTATTATTGACTTGAATGAAGTCCCAAATGTCATGCTCATTAAATCTGCATCATACTGTAGTGAATATTAAAAAATAAAAATATTTAAAGATTTGATAGGTAGGAACAATAGGCCAAACTAAGGATGTGATATTTACTAGGATTAAGAATAAATAAGCTTAAATTCTAAATGATCCAACAAAAACACATAGTCTTATTGAGTGCAAGACTATTGCACTCAATAGTCTTATTGAGTTAATATCTACCAAGCAGAAGTCTACAATAAAAGATAAAGAACAAAAAACAAAAGTAATGGTCACAGTTTTTTAGGAGGTTTCTATCTAGAGGGGACATAGAGTAAGTCAACAATTGCAGTTTGTAGAATTATGTCGGTAACACATTTACCTCCACAACGCAATGGGGGCAGGGAAACAGGAGTAGGACTTTACCCAATGGGGATCTGGAAATGGGGTGAAAGATGGAGGTGACTGGGCATAATAAACCTCATGCGTCAGTAGTTAAGCACTGTGGATATATACAGTTTAACAGGGAATGACCAGAAATAAAGGGGCCAGATCACCAAGGGCCCTTATTTAAATTTTATTCTATGTAAGTAGAGGGTATGGCAGATCAGGTCAAATGGTAATTCATTCACAAAAGAACTGAGGTTTCAGGTTAGTGTTTAATAGAAATAAAGAATTCAGATGAAAGGAAATAGAAACTAGTTGCACTAATTCTAAAGTATTGTATTTAATTCTGGAAAAGCTGAAGCATTTCAGAGGATAGAAAACAGTGTAGTGAAGGGTGCTGAAGCAATGGCATGGGGGAAAAATAAAAGCAATGCTACTACCTCTTAATATTTGTATTGTCCTGTCATATTATCTTATTTGATTTTCATATGAAAGTTATTTAAAGAAAAAAATAACACTTAACCTAGAAAAGGGAAAACTTAAGGAAACATAATCATCTTCAAATATTGGAAAGGCTGCTATGTAAAAGGAGGATCTGATTTTTTCTACATGGCTCCAAATGGTAAAACTAGGACTGATGGGTGGATGTTAGAGTGAAGCGGATGTTGGTTAAACATAGTAGGAGATTTGGAAATAAGTATGGCAATCAGAAATTGATGTGTTCCCCATCAGTGGAAGAGTTCAAGGAAAGACTGATAGGAAACCACTTATCGAGTGGTCAAGTGGAGAGACTGGCATATACACCATTTCCCCTCCCCCTTTCAACTCTAAGGTTGTAGGATTTCTAAGAGTTACTGGTTTTTCTGGAGGATCAAGTGGCTAACTGACAGTAGTTTCAAGAAGATGAGAAAGGAGCCCCCAAAATTTAATGGAGGAACTTGGGGAGGGGAGAGAGTGGGGGTGGAACGATCAAACATTTAAAATTTCAGGATTGACGGGCAGAATTGTGTTTAACCTGTTAACAAGCCCTTGGGAAAGGTGCTTTTAAATTTAATAGACAAAAATTCAAACTTAAACTCAGAAAAACAGAATAAAAAACCCAGTAGATTATCCCAGCTGAATAACCTATGCCACTTAAGAGCAATATGTCATCTTAACACTTAGTACATGCCAAGAATATGAAGGAGGATATTGAACATAAAGATTTCTAGCATATTGATTCCACATCTCCCTTACAAAACATAACACTTACAGTATCTGCTTCTTTTCCATCAATCATCTGCAGATCGTTCAAAGACCACTTTTTTGTTACTTCGTATTTTTCATCTAAACCTATTCTGTAGTGTTTCACCATAATTATTTTTACTTCTTCATTTTTGGTCACTGTAGGACAGAAAAAATAACACTTGGTTTACATAAACTCTTAGAAGACAATAAATTATTCATCGTTATACTTTCTATACTATTTGGTATTTATCTATCTCCTTTTCATATGAGTTTGAGCCTAACTTCTATCTGCACCCCAATTATGAACCCTGATGTATCTGAGCCTTCATGAGTATGCCCCCTAATTTGTTCCATACATTAACTTAATTTTTGCTACAGTTGTGCCTACACACTGCTGTGACTTCCAGTGGTAATATCTGTCAGATGGAGCACTGAGCTATGTGCTTTCAGCTCTGAGCTTTGTGGTAGACAATAGGGTTCGACTCCTGGCAAGAAATAAGAGGCTTCGCTTTAACATACAGTCAGTGCCAAAGTATTTACCAGAACAAATTGGAATTTTAATTTATGACAATAGAGAGAGTAAGGTCGGGAAAGCAAACAGTTCAGCTCACACAGCAGCACAATGTTGAAAGTGACCATACGAATACTACTTTGTATCTTTTCTTTTAAAGTTGCAGTGGGAAAAAAGTTGATGTGAGACTTTTGATGGAGAAGTGCTGGTATCTTGGCTACAGTTGACCTGTTTGGTACTGTTTGAGATTTTTAGTCTTCTCTAGCATGTCTCCAAATTTTAGCATTCAAAATGTGCCATTAAGACAGAAATTTCAGTATTATACTTTGAAAGGTATGAGAAAATCATTGCTTATTTTATTATGGAAAAAAATGTAGGAACTCCTTTCTTGGCCTTAAAAACATTGTCTTTGGTCTCATAACAATACATCAGAAGAATCAACATTTGATGTTAGAACTCCTGAACTGAAAATTATCAATTGGTTAATAAAGGAGTATTTACAGAGTACCTGCTACTTACCTGATAGAATTATCACAGATGCCAGAGGGATGCAAGTATGAGATATGATCCCTGCCCTCTGGACTGTCAACACACATGAGGCACAGAAAATATATATTAGAATGGTATACAAGTATATTATTTTTAAACTTTTAAAAAATTTATTTATTTATTTTGAGAGAGAGAGAGTGAGTGAGCAGGGGAGGGGCAGAGAGAGGGAGAGACAGGGAGAGAGAGAAAAAGAGAGAGAGAATCCCAAGCAGGCTCCACGCTGTCAGTGCAGAACCCACCACCAGGCTGGAATTCATGAACTGTGAGATTATGACCTGAGCCAAAATCAAGAGTCAGATGCTTAGCCAAGTGAGCCACCCGGATGCCCCAAGTATACAGGTATATTATAAAGAAGTGGCAGTGGAAATTGAATATCTAAAAACTTCTTTCAAGATGGATGTCACTTAGACATCTTAGAAGGTTGCAAGCTGGTTCTGTCCTCTACGACTGAAACGGGAATTTATATTTAAGGAACTCTTTTTTGGTTCTGGAAAGTGCCACTTTGGCATGCCCTCCTAGTTAAGTAAGTATAAAGCCATACATTATGAAATAATCCTAATAATAGATAAGCAATGTACAGCAGACTATATATGTTCAACAGGAGTTCTGAGAAGGGAGAGGATTGGAATAGTTAAGGGAAAAACTATAACTGTATAACTATATACTAAATATAGCACATATACTATATAATTATAGTTATGGTTTATATACAAACAATAACTATAGTTATGGGAGAAATAGAATTTTATATAGGATTTAAAATTGGTCCTGTTTGGGAAGGCAGAGATGATGTTTGAAGACGTTTACAGGCGAAGGACAGCATGAGGAAATGAATGAACAATAGAAACTGAACATCACCAGGTAGGGTTAGAGAAAGTGGACTGTATAGACTGGTTGGTATTAGGATATGGTGGGCAATAGGATTAATGAGGCTGAGAAGATTGTGAAAATGTTTTTGAAAGCCTCTGGATTTGAAAAGGGACAGAAACAACTGAGGACTTGTGGTGTCTGAATCCTCTGCCTGGTGGAAGGATTGTGACGCTGGTCTGCATAGCGAGAGCTCCAGAATTCGGGCTGGGGAAGGGAGTCATTTTCCTCTGAAGGTGCAAGTGATACTGAAATTAAGGGAACCAGTTGAGCTTAGAGCTGCTGAGTAGTTCAGTCCTCTAGAGAGGGAGTCTGAGCGGGTTGACAAATCTAAGAAGATGGCACTCTGTCAGGTATTCAGTGAAAGCTCATACAGTTACACATATTCATAAGTCTCTTTCTTCCTTGAATAGGAGGCTAGTACAGTGGTGCCCCATTAAAGGAGTATTTTTTTGGAAGCAGCAATGTACAAAATACATTGAAGAAGAAAAGAAAGAGGGACTAGAGGTCCCTGGAAAAGGCATCGAGACTTAGTGGGCTCTGGCTTTAGATGTTTTTGATGCAAATCATGATGCCACTCCTTACCACTGTAAGTGGTAAACGGCTGAGTAAATAACTTCATGTCTGGAGAGATAAAACCTCCATTTGCTCATGTTGGAAAGTGGACATCAGAGCTCTACAAACTCATAGGGTGTAAAGATTTAACATAAAGTATATAAATGACATAGATAGTGTCTGGTTTGCAGTAACTGTAATTGTTAAAGCACTTCATTTTGTGTAAGAGGCTTTTGTAATCCAGGCATAGGATGTAGGCAATGGAAACAGATATGGCAAATCCAAGTAAGATTTCAAACGAGGCTTTGACAACACCAGACGGAAACCAAAATAGGAAAGTATGGAGAGTGAGCTGGTCGGGCAGAATAATGAGTTTAGTTTTGGACATACAGATGAGATGTCCATAAACTATCTCAGAAAAGAAGGAGATAGAAGATTATAGTTTAGGTTGCATCTTTATTTTTTAATTTAACTTAATTTATTTATTTTTGAGAGTGAGAGAGAGCACACACATGAGTAGGGGAGAGACAGAGAGGGAGAGAGAATCCCAAGCACTGCCAGCACTGTCAGTGCTGAGCCTGATGCAGGGCTCAAACTCATGAACCCTGAGATCATGACCTGAGTTGAATCAAGAATCAGATGCTTAACTGACTGAGCCACCCGAGTGCCCTGGAAGTTTGTAGTTTAGGAATAGAGATACAGACTTGGAATTTTTCTGCGTGGACAGGTTTCCAAGACCAAGTTTATAGGGAAAAGAGCAAAGAGGTAAGAGAGAGCAGAGAATAAAAAGGTTCCAGCACAGAGATCTGAGAAGATGATGTGCAAAGAGAGAAGCCCAGCAATGGCAATGCTATGAAAATCATGAGGACAGAGAATTGAAAAAATTGGAGACCATCCTGTGAAGTCACTTTCTTGGGTAAAGCAGAGTTCAGACCTGGCACAGAATCTGCCTTGGGGAATATCATTGATTTCTTTCCTGAGAGCAGTTTCTCTGGATGGTGAGGGCAGAGACAACCTGCAGGGGTCTCCTTCATGCACTAAGTCTTGAGTGCGTACTATGTGCCAGTTCCCGGGTTAGGCAGGATTAAAACAAGAAACAGGAAGAGACTAAAGGCTATGATTTAGAGAACATATTCCAAGAGTTTGGGAGAGGAGGGATTGTGTATTTTGGGGGACAAAGGGAGTGATTGAGGGGCATGTCCTGGACAGGACCCAGATCAGAAGATCTAAACCTAGTATTAAAAAATTGAAATTGTGTGCAAAAATTGTTGGGTTTCTGCCCATGTACATTTCTCCAATTCTAGAAAGGTCCATTTCCACTGATCTAGATGTTAGTTTTGGGAAGAGGAAAGGGCTAGAAAAGAAGCTATTAGCATGGTGCGTTGAAGTGGAGGTAGAGTGATTCTGTCATACTTATTAAGGACAAGATCCTGGAGGCAGTTCCTTCTACCAGGAACACGTTGTATCTGTTCAGACAAAGGCTCTACCTCAGACCAAAGGACAATGTTCTTGTTCTGGCTAGCTATCTCACTTGCTATTTAGAGTGTGGGAGAGGATGCTTATGGGGAGAAATGACTGGATACTATACGAAAATGTAATTTGAAGCAAATTCCACTGCCTCATCTACAGGTTATGACAACTAGCCAATACCTATAGGGTTACTGATGCATTTCATTATTTTGATAAATATTTGAGTGCCCCTTTTGTGCAAAGCCCTGTTCTAGGCATGGAAAAAAATGAATTCCCATAAGGCACCATTCCTGCTCTCACTGAGATTACAGGGAGTAGGGGCTTTAGAAAGAAAACGCATGATCACAGTGCCGTGAATGAAGCATGGACCAGGTAATATACAAAAATCAAGAAGGGACATCTCCATCTGACAGGTGGGGTCAGGGAGAGTTTCTTGAAGGGGTTAATCTGAGTTGTACAAGGCAGTGGGAGTTAGAAGAATGAATAAAGGGGTAGAAGGAGTTATAGAACAGCATGTGTACAAAAGCATGAAATACTTTGCCCTTTTGAGTCCATGATAGATATTTGGTATTATTGACATAAAGTGTGAGGGTGGATAGGTGGTGAGGGAAGCAGGTTAGGCAGGAGGGAGTTCCTGAAGGGTCTAGAAGGCTAAGCTAAGGAGTTTGAATGTTAATCTGAGAACTATGTATGTGGAGGGGAAACTTGGGGGGAAGGATGTCAAGGATTTTAGGTAAATGGGCTGAGCTTTAAATTCTAGAAAGTTTTCTTGGGCAGTTCTATAAAGGATGAAAAGAGATGTTAAGAAGGTAGGATCTACCAGTTATCAAGTTTTCTTACATTAATGGTTACTGTCCCACCAACAACAAACTAAGAAAACAAGCAGCTTTAAAACTTAATCCTTTGATACAATGAGGCAGCACAGAGACAGTAGACTCCTTAATTTGACAAAAGTAGCCTCCTCTGGAGTCAAGGAGGCTCCAAGAACTTTCTTCAGCCAAGAGTCAAAGAAGTCTACTCAGGCTGGAGTGAACCCTATCCCTAATTTCCATGCCTGTCCTCTGCTGCCAGCCAAAATTAAATGTCCATATCCATAGTAATGCAGTGGCAAAGTGGAAACTTATCACATTGTCCCAAAACAGAAATGTGTTTATATAGTCAAAAAGTTAGAGAGTTGGTTTTAGTAACATCAGAGATGCCATTATATACTTATGATTTAGTGAGTAATATCTAGAGACCCAGAGAATTTCAGAATAACTTGTTCCACTATTAATATTCCAGTTTAGCATTTTCAGAATTACAATCTTAACTTCACACCAACCATTTATTTTCCCTTTTAATTTCAAAGTAAACACTTCCATTAATAACTGCCTCTATTACCATGATAAAGCAGTCACTTTAATTTATAAAGCTAAATGGAAAGAATGTTGGCTAATTGAACCAACACAATTTTACAGGATAGAGGAAAAACAGTAGTTCATGAATAAGGTGCACAAAAATGCTTTAAATAAACAAATGACTGTTATTTTACAGTCCTAGTATCACATAATTTTCCCACTGAAATTAAATAATAGAGAAAATCTACCGGAAGATATGAAAGATAGGAAGTCTCAGTGAAAATGTTTCAATATATCGATGATGTCTTGGGTTTCTTGAGAATACTATTACTGATTTTATTAAAAAAGTAATTTTCAAATAATTTTTTTCTAGGAATATTTTAATAAAAGTATTTTTGGGGCTCTACTGAGTACTGTAGATTGAGTGTTTGTGTCTCCCCCCACCCAAATTTATTTTTGGAATCCTAACCCTGAAGATGATGGTATTAGGAGACAGAAATGTTGGGAGGTGATTTGGCATTAGCACACTTTCAAAAAGACTCCAGAAAGATCCCTTGCCCTGTCCACCATGTAAGGTTACAGGGTAAGATGGAGGTCTCTAAGGAAGTGGGTCCTCACCAGATACTGAATCTACTGGTGCCATGATCTTAAACTTCCCAGTTTTAGTACTGTGAGAAATAAATGTTGTTTATAAGCCACCCAGTCTCTAATATTTTGTTTTTTCTTGTTAATTTATTCTTATTTAGCACTCTAATTGTTACCATTATTATTGTAAATGGCTTGACAAAATTGTTAGATTCTCTGGTTCACAGAGTTCTGTTCTGACATTAAAATGCAATATGTATGCAGAATTTATACACACTGTTTTCATAATTCTAGAAAATGCCATTTATTTTCAAATTAGTATTTATGAATGAAAAATGTTTTTCTAAATATATGAGAATACTTAAAATAACCTGTATCTGAATATGTATATAATTTTTATTTATAAAACATATAATATAATATATAAAGTCTTCATTATATAGTAAATGCAATACTTATACATGTTTAGTGTATATTTTATTTTTATTGAAGTATTTATTTATAGTATACACTATATAACTATATTTCAGCATATGTTTTTCACAGTAAATATATTTTTCTGTATATTTAAAAAATTTAACCCTACCTTATTTTGTTTCTTTGGAAAATAATTTATCAATCATGTTTGTTTTTCCCTAGTTAGGATTTAATAGGAGAGCACTATGTGCATTTGTAGGTGTTATTATTTCCATTTCAGAGATGTCAACACTGAGGCCAGAGAGGTTAATTATCTTTCCCCAAATTTCACAGCTGGCAGGTGGGCAAAGTAGAGTCAGGTTTTATATCAGATCTGACTTATCCCAAGCATTCCAAGGTCCATTCTACCACGCCCTTCCCGCCCAATTATGGCGAATGCTCTATATGCTATTTCAAGTCCTTCAGAATTTCTTTAATTCATTTGCACTCACCATTGCACAAGTGACTTATCCCTTTCTAGTGCCCGCATATAATAGGTTCCTCCCTCCTCCATAAGAAGATGCTGCTTTTAACTGATGTGGATAATGATGTTCTAGGCTAGGGGAAGCTAATCCCAAGGAGAAATGACCTTGCAAACTCTGAGATGCCAGGAAATCCTCAATGTGAATCCTGGCAAAATACAGAGAGGGAGATTGGGTTCATGGCATCTGATTTTTTATAACAATTAGGTAAAGTATCAAGATAACAGTAAGTCACAATCATCTGGTTTCGAGACCCCTGCAAAAGAGATTCTGATCAGATACATAGAAAATGTAGATTACTGAAACATATCTTCTTTAGTTTGAAAACGCATGACGGAATTCAGCTACTCTAGCCTTCAACTCTTGCTAATTTAGAACTACTAGATTGTAGGACATAAAGAGAAAATTATAACTTTGAGTCTTTCTACTCTGTGAAGGTAGCCAAGATCTTGACTTACCTGCCTCAGTAATTATGATATGACCTGTTTGATTCATGTCTATAGAAATTTTCTGAGTAAAGCAGTGTCAAAGATTAAAGTCTATCAATCATCACATTGGCATCACTTTAAATTACCATTCTGCCTACATGTATTTGAAATGGTCATAAACAGATATTACATTTAGGGAAAGTACTCTCAAATTGAATGATGTGATATAGAGGAGAGTTATGAAAAATTAGTGAACAAACATGGCTAATAATGTTAATTTTTATATGAAACATCACAATATTGTTTCTCTTCATATCTGAGATCACCTTGTGGTGGTTTTTTTTTCTTCTTACAGAGGAGAGTCATTGAATTTTACCAATGAAAGTGATCACCTCCTCTACTTGTTTATTTTCTAGATAAGAAAATTGAACCCCAAAGAGGGTGCCTTCACCCATGTTAACAATGCTAACCCCTTGACCTTCTGATCCTTGTTAAAAGATTCATGTCATTTATTAAAAATAAAACAAAACAAAAAACAGCAGGTAAACCCAGCCCACAGTATTTTTCCTAGAACTCAAGGACAACAGAAAGAAAAGTCACTATCCATTTCCAAAAGTTTAATTTGAGGGGACTTTTTTCATGCCACATTGAACAAGTTCAGTTTATTATATGGTTGCAGGGAGGAATTAAGATATATTTCATAAGTTAGATATATACACTGATATGATTATTTTATTTTTACAAGTTCACTTTAAAAATTCATGTATGCTAATGTCACATGATGGGTAATGAACTTTATAAAGAGGATCACAGAAGAAATATAATTATTAAATATTGATGTCAGAATAAGCATCTTCTCTAGTATAATAAGTCAAAATACTTTAAGATATTGAGATTTAATGGTTATGATACAGTTTCTAAAATTATTTCACTTGACTTTTTTCCCCATAATTTGATTTCTTTCTTTTTCCTGGCCAATTAAATTTTTACCTTGCTGATATTCCAAGTCCTCATACTTTGTATTTATACAGCAACATATGCTAAGAAAAGCATTAGATAAATATTAGTACCCTTATTACTGAGTAAATATTGTTTTTATTAGGAATGATAGAATTAAAAAAATTCTTAGCACTTTATTTATATCTGGTCTACTTTACAGTATTCCATCTTGACAACTTTAGAGAGTCCTTCTGAGGCAATTATCAGGAAGAGAATTATAAGTTGTTTTTGAAAACGCTGAGGTGTGTGCCTTAAAAAAGAAAGTCCATAATGAACATTTAGAGTTTCTGAGCTCTTTCCTCCTAAGCCCCTGAAAAGTATTAAAAGGCATGGATTGGGAAAAGGGAATGCTGTATATTATGTTCGATAATGGCGTGAGCAATTCTGTCTAAATTCAGCATACTCATTACAGGTTAAGCAAATCATAATTAAGTGCAAAAACCTATTCCCACATTTGGACAACTTTTGTGAATTTTAAAAGTATAGTGGAAAATCTATATTTTAAATGGTTTAGAGAGCAGCCCCTTATTCTTAAAGTTACAGCTTCATGAGCTAATTTCTACAATTAGAGCACTGTTTCTGTGGGCATACTTCCTAGAAGAGAAAGGATTTTTAAAAAAATCCTTTCTCTTTTCAAAATAAACTACCAGGAAGAAAAATTAAGGTCTTTTTCTTTTCCTAGCACAAAAAAGGAGAATCCTAGTTGTCCAGACTGGTTGGAAATAGAGCTGTATAACTCAATTCTCCAGTGTTTTAAAAAATATACAGAAAGCTCTCTGTTGAATTTTTTAAGATGAGCTCTTACACATTAAGATTGCATACCATGCAAGTGAATTAAAAGACTGGAGACAAAGTAATCCAATCAGGAAAATACAAATCCAGTTTCATTCTGAACAATTAATCAAAATATTCTTGATACGATATTCTTTTTCTGTCTCCCATTTTAGCACCGAAGATAAAATTCTGTGGAATCCAAATTCCTAAACTTGGTGTAGTTAAGCTCTACCATCAGAAGATACACGTGCTGTTATTATACAGGAAAACAAACACAGAAATGTCCCTCTACCACCCACACATCTTGGGGTTATTTACATTTTGAAGTGATAACAGAAAGAACAGATTACCTGACACACAGAGGTAATACCTGTCCTGGACGGAGAATTCAATTTCAATAAACTCGTACAGATTCTGGGAGAGTGGCTTAAACAGTTTCTTCTCCAAGTCCTCCTTTACCAATGATGACATTTCCTCCAGGTCCACTTGGCCTGATGTCTTGGCTCAAGATCACCCTTTCTCTCCTTTTGCTCCCTAGATTCCTTGTTTGGGTTTGCTCCTCCCAGCCCTTGCTCTCTTAACTTCTCATTCCTGACCAGACCCAGGCTCCGCAGAGCAGTCTGCGCGGTCAGACCCCTCACTGCGGTGTGTGCCCAGCGACAGCAGCAGCGGCAGCCAAAATCCAGCGGCAACCCTCGCCCTACGGTCCCTCCTCAGCATCCAGGCTGAAGCAGGCTGCTCTCTGGAGCTCTCCTGTGGTTTGCTGATGGGGAACACGTTTCTGAACACCAGCAGCTGTACTTGTGGAGTCCCTTGGTTATTCTCCTCTAGTAGCCTTTTCCCTTTCACATCACTCTGCTGAGCAAGACCACTGCTTCAGCTTGATTCCATTATATAAATCAGCTGTCTGGCTCTATTGATTGGGATCATCTTCCATTAAGAACTTTGCTGTCATGGGCAGGAGACAAAGCATCAGTGCTTGCTCCTGACACTTCCAACAAGTCCCTTGCCCTCCTCTCCCCTCCTGCAATTCATTCAGACCTTTGCTTCCGTGAAAGTCAGCACCAACCCCTGGGTCCAAATTATTTTTTAAATGGGCTCCCTTTAATGTTGTTCATTCTCCTACTCACAAAGAAAAATGTACTAGGTACTGCTGGAACAAAGCTTTGTGTTTGTTTCTTGGGAGGGTGGATTTTCTATCCCCAAGGAGCTCATAATCTAATTGAGATGAGTACACCAAATAATTATCATGAATGTTTAAAAGTGATAAATGGCATAGAAGAAAAAGGAACATAGAAAAGATATTTGTACCTGGAAAGTATCAGAGGAAGCCCTATGGGAGAAGAGCTAGAGCTTGAAGAATGAGAGAAAACTATTGAGGTGGAAGAAGGAAAGGAGCCTATTGCACAGACTGGCCACTGTGAGTCACAGCCCTGCATCAAGAAGCTCAGGGGGTGTTTGGGAGGACAAGAAGTAGTTCAGTTTTCCTGAGATGTAGCATGCATGAAAGTAAAAGACAAGGCTGGAAAGATAGATTGGGGCCAGATCAGAAAGGGCCTTGAAAGCCAGGTTAAACCTTTGGACTTTATTCTATAGAAGTGGAGAGCCAATGAAGATTTTTGGGGCATTCATTCATTCAACAAATATTTTTCAAGTGCTGATATTGTGCCAGGCTCTGTTCTAGGAACTGGGAATATACAATGAAAAAAGTAGGTCATTTCCTTGCTCCTGTAGAGTTAGAGGGGTAGTTGGAATATAAAGAAATAAAGCAGTGACCATCCAGGATGCACTCAGCTGCAAGTAACAGAACACTTGACATGGAGCTATACAGAGTAAAGACTTCAAACAATCTCTCATAATAAGAGGTCTTCAAGTAGGCAGGTTCAAGCCTGGCTCAGTGCTTGTAGGTGAGGGTCCCATGTGCTTTGCATCCTTCTGATCTTCAGCTATTGGCTTTTTGTCCTTAGGCTACTGTTGTTCAGGTCCGAGGACAGGAAGAAAGGGGGTTGGGTTGGCAGCTCTTCTTGATTTCTCTTTATTTTGGAAGAAAACTCTCTCAAAAACCAGCCAGAGACTTCTCTTTCCATCTTGGTGCCCATAACTGGGTCACATGACCATCCCTAGCAAACGAGTATTTGTCATTTTTGGTTCCTATCATGGGAAAGGGGATTTTCTAGCAAGGAAGAAGAGGCTGGGGATGACTGCAAGCAGACAGTGAATAGTGTTCCATGGCTTCCATATTTGCTGCTCTAAAGAAAAATTAATGACATGGCTGTGGCTAGGCTGAATGGTGGGGTCTTGGGTAAGACATTTGTCTTTCTGAGCCTAAGTTTTCCCATCTAAAGAATTATCTATTGGGTCCTTTCCTACTTTAATATCTCCTATTCTGTTTGTTATTTTGGAGTCTAGTAAAACACTTTGGGTAGAGTACCTAACTAGTAGTATGTTTTTAGATACAGAAATGGAGAAGAGGACATGAATTTAAAATATATTTGGATGATAAAATCATGAAGCCATGGCACCTAATTGGATGCGAAAGGTAGAAGGTAGAGTCAACAGGACACAACTACTTTCCACTTCCACCTAGAGAATGAGATAATGAGCCCACATCACAGGAGGGAGACTCTCAGAGAAGACATTATTTCCAGCTTTTGCACTTGAAAATCTATTTCTGGGTGTTTTAGTCCTCTTATGGAAAACAATAACAACAACAGCAAAACAAAGAAAAATAAATAAAACCCAAAAAACTGGTATAAAAATCAGAACACTCATCAATAGCATTGTCATTGAAATTCAATAAGATATTTATTTATTTATGTAATTTTTTTAAAAATGTGTTTCTCTCCTGCTAGACTGTAAGTGTTATGAGAGCAGGAACCATGTTCTTCCTGCCTGCCATACATCCAGGATATGTGATATGCAGTGTCTAGCAATCATAGACATCCTTGCATTTACTTATTCACTCAATCTATTTGTAGATATTTGCTAAATGAGCAAATAATCAAATCAGTCTTTTGTTGAAATTTTTAAAACATTTATTCATTTCTGAGAGAGAGAGAGAGAGACAGACAGACAGACAGAGTACGAGTGGAGGAGGGGGAGAGGGGGAGACAGAGGCATAGAATCTGAAGCAGGCTCCAGGTTCTGAGTTGTCAGCACAGACTCCGATGCAGGGCTTGAACCTACAAACCATGAGATCATGATGAGTTGAAGTCAGATTCTTAACCAACTGAGTTACCCAGGCAGCCCAATTCAATCAGTCTTATAATGCCCTTTCCTTCCTTTCTTCCTTTTTTGCCTAGCTGATTTTGCAGTTATATGTCCTCATAGCTCGAGTAGACAGTTTTACCAATGATTTAGCCCGTGTCAATATCCCTTTTTTTTGTTGCCACGAATGCATGGACGTTAGTTGTGAGAGTCTCAACTGCACTTCTGAAGGAAATATTACAACTTTCTCTGAAAGTTTTTAAGAAAAGAGTGGCTATGTTTTCCAGCATGGTCTTAAGTAATGTTGAAATTATAGGTTCAGGAAATGACATAGTGACCTTTTAGTTCCAAACTGAAATGTGTGCTATCAATAAATGTGTTCAGGAATGATTTGCCATTGGTTTGAATATTCTTATTGTATTGATTTGACAGTCATAGGGAGAAATTCATGCTAACGTGCTAATAAATGTCTTTTTTAAGGTTCTAAATCATTCTATGAGACCAATCTGTCAAAATACTACCTAAGTTATGGGGGGGAAGGAGGAGGTGGGCACGGAGAGGGGCACTTGTGGGGATGAGCACTGGGTGTTATATGGAAACTAACATGACAATAAACTATTTGTAAAAAAAAATGTTACCTAAGTTATAAAGAATCAAAGCATTCAATCTTAAAAAAATTACAAATGGCAATTCACCAACAATGGAAATAAGGAAAACCTTTAGAGACCCTACGTTATTTGTCAGTTCAGAGGAATAGAGTACTAAACTTTTGGAAACTAGCATCAACAGAAGATGTTATAGAAAAATAATAACCCCAAATGTATTCATTACAATATTTAAGGGAGCTATAATGGGTGCCTGGCTGGCTTAGTTGGTAGAGCATATGACTCTTGATTTCAGGGTTATAAGTTCAAGCCTCATGCTATGCATAGAGATTATTCAAAAAGTTTTTTTAAAAAGATATTTAATAGAGCTATAAAAACATTCTTTCCTCATGGCCAAAGATTATTCTAGTCTGTAAATTTCTTTTCTGAAATGCTATGCTTTTCTGAAACTGTCAATGGGGATGATGATGAAGAAACCATTGGAAAACATGGTATTTTTCTGGAAACTCTTATCTTTTAAAACTCCAACATCTCCTAAATGTACTTGCTACAAAGAAGGAATATTTACTACCTACTGTTTCACTAATGAGACATAGCCAATCCATGATCCTGGGTAAAGTAATGGCTATATAGGGATAGCCTAGCTGGTGTACAGGGAGACAGATTACTCAAAAGAAAAGGCCTTCTTGAATATAAGACTCACAGAGGAACCTGGTTTCTACATGACCCACAACTAGAAGAATGTACAATAAAATCTGATCTGTAAATAGTCCAGATCTTTTTTATTCTTATTATTTTTCCCCCCAAAACCAAGGAACTATTTTTCTTTCAATTTTCAGTTTTGCAATTTTGCTTTAATCACTTCCCAATCTAGTATTTAAAAATTATACGTTCCTTTGCAACCATAGTATTATTTATTTGATTAAGATATCTAGGAGTACATGTCCTACCTGTGCATACATTGTGGGATAATAATGTGCACAAATAATAATATTATTCTCCCTTTTGCACATTCACAAATTATAGGACTGTCAGTTTCCACAGAGCTCAGGGCTCATGTAGTTAATTGCCCTCTGCAATTACAGAGTTTGCCTGGTTGGGACTTTGTTGATCAAAGTTCTGCTCTTCTTAAGGCTGCTCTGCAGGTACATGATGAGGTAGTGGTAAACACTGTGAATACAGGCTGAGCCCCAACTCTGTGTCTTCTTTCCAGACTTGTATCTCAGTCCCCTTTTGCTTAAGCAAAAGGCTGTGGTTGTGTATGCCCTCATATCACTAAGTCCTGGGCTCCAGGAGAGGAGGGAAAACACTATTTATCAGCACTAATCAATGCCAGACTCTGAGTGTTGGCCTTTGCAATATACATTGTTTAATTTAGTCTTCCCGCAAAGCTAAGAGGTAGATATATGATTGTCCCCATTTTCCCTATGAAGAAACAGTATTCTGTGGAAGCATTTTAGCTCTCCTTAATGTTTGACAAGGAAGGCAATGCATCTCTGTCCTTTATTTATTTATTTATTTATTTATTTATTTATTTAATTTCTGACAGAGAGAGACAGCGTGAGCAGGGGAGGGTCAGAGAGAGAGGGAGACACAGAATCTGAAGCAGGCTCCAGGCTCTGAGCTAGCTGTCAGCACAGAGCCCGACGTGGGGCTAGA